ACCAAGGGGGAGGGAGTGACGTAGGAGGCTAGGACCGGATACAGGGAGGAGGCATCTGGGATTAGCGCATAGACAGAGTACGTGACCTAGGAAGTCAGACTCAGATACTGGGAGGAGGGGTCTGGGGTCAGTGCTGCACAAAGGGACCCAGTAAGTCAGGAAGGTCACAAGATGGAGGCGTCTGGGGATGACGTTGCATATAGGGAGGGGACTAAGCAAAGGGAACTCAGTCCTCTGCCGTCCCACTCCCACGTGGCACCGCCCCTTGCCTCAGGAGCTCAAGCTCTGGCTACTTCCTTGCACCCAGCTTATCTCACATAGCACTGCCCACTGCCTCAGGGCTTCTCTGTATCCAGCCCATCCCGGTTCACCACGACTCTGCCTACCACAGCCCCTGCCTCGACTTCCAAAATACCCAGATCTTACCCTACTCTTGCCACAGCGCCCAACCTGGTAGCTGCCAACATCAGACAGTCCCTCACACTAAGTGTCTATTACACTGGTGCTCATGATAAAGTACCCTCTCTACCCAGCCAGAGGCCATGTCTCCTTAATGAATGAGTCTTGAAGTTGCTCAGACCTCTGCAAGCAAATGCAACTGAACTCTGGTGACCAGCACTCTCCATACAGAACTATTCCCAAGTCCCCAAGGCTGGCATCTATTTGCAGGACAAAAGGCTTGCTTGGATCTGCATAAGCTAATATTGGTGACTGTTGACTTAGTTGACCAAGTCTTCACAGCTGTCCATTCATCAGTCTCTAAAGGGGAGGGGAAAAGAAGGGATTAAGCATTTATATAGCACCTACTATGAGCCAAGAACTGTGCTAAGGGCTTTTATATTATCTCATTTGAGAGCTTTGTGAAATTTAATACAACTTTGCATTTCTTGTCCTGTTTCTAGGTCTCTTAATCATATGTACATGAATGTAGTCATTCAATGACATAGTCACGGAAGCCTAGTTCTTAACAAATCTGTGATAATAACAACCACATCCTAGAAAAGCCCTCAGACCTTGCCAGTTCTATAGACTCACCATTCAGAGTATTCCCTGGGTCAGCCTCCCAACTCGTTGAGATACTTTATGAACCACATACTTGACAAAGATTCTTCAGAACTGACACTTGCCTATTGAAAGCTTCACACCATTATCCTCTAGCCACATCAATATTTTCCTCAGTTTTTCCTTATGGTTTTTCCAGAGTTTCCCCAAAGACAATAAGCTCATTAAAGTATACCAACACTTGTGGATAATTCATATGTTTAACTACTTTCTCCATCAGTCTTAGGAAAGTAGCTGGGAACTCCAAAACGCCTTCGGACCAGGGATGTGCTAGCGTACTATGCCTCTCTTCAGTAGAGTTTCCCAGGGATCTGTTTTTGGACTTGGGCTGCTTAATATTTTTATCAACGATTTGGATAGGTTGTAGATGATGCAGTCCTAGAATGGATGCACAAGTTTGCAGAAACCAGCTCCAAATGACTCACAAGGATTGAGTGTTAAATTTTCAATATTAGCATTTACACCTCAGAAATGGACAAGCAATACAAATCAGGGCTTGATCATTATTTTGCTGACTGTCTAGACTTAAGAAAGTGATGTAAAATGTTAATAATGCAGATTAAACTTAAAAGTGTGCCATGTATACTTTTTTTGAGAACCAATTGTTAAACATTTTCTATCACACTCCTACTTGGGATATTACCGGGATATTACCTCAAATTGGTAAAAGTAAGAAATATGAAAACAGTCTTCTCTCTATCTTGTTCTGCCATAGGAATATGGTAGTAACCACTACTTAAGACCAATACTGAGAACCACTGCCTTCCCAACAGAAAGTCCAGAGCATGATGTACTGGTCCGCTTTAGCTTTTTTTTTTCCAAGTCTGATGGTCTACATACATTCATAGCCTTCCAGTTTTTTTGGTACCAGCACTGTAACTGATGTGTTAGACTCTCTGAGGATGCTGTTAATCAGTAGATCTTTGAGATGGTTTCTGAACAGAAAAAGGAATTTTTCTAAATCATTCCTAGGTCATTTTCAACACCATTTCTAGATCAATGGTCAGGAATTGGTGAACTGTATCCTGTGCATTGCTCCTTAGGCACATTCTACACGCTTCTCACACAGTGAGAACATACTTATTCTTTTGCTATCTTTCAGCCTCAATTGATCCTTCCATTCTTTGGGTCCTATAGAATCACAAAAGTCAAATTTCTCAGGACCACTTCTTTGCTTGAAGAACCAGCACTGCAGTGATGTTTACTCTCACCAACTTCCTCTCTTTTCATCATGCTGCTCTCTCTCTCTCCTGCCACTGCACATATGGTTTTGATAACACCAGCAATTCTCCCTTATTTCGCCATCTCTTATGAGATCTCTCCTCTTCCTCCTTAGGGATAGAGAAGGGCTAAGTATGTTACAGCACCCCCACTAGAATGTAAGCTCACTGAAGGCAGGGACTTATTCATTGTTATCTTTTTATCCCTAATACCTAGCACAGTCCTTTACACATAGTAGGCACTTAATAAATGCTTATTAAATTTAATTAGATTGAATTAAATCTGCTAAATGTGCATTCCCAGTGTCTTCTTCCAAATAAGTACTGGACAAAAGATCTGATTTGATCTCGACTGGGAGGGCTGTGGAGGCCTTGGGCTTGGGCAAAGGAACTGAGTAGAACATTTCTTCATTTTCCTCATCTATATCTAAGTGATGCTCCCATTGAGCTCCC